CAGTGGCTCAGAGGCCAGATAGGGACATCTGTCATCCGCGAATGCTTTGAACGCGCAGCATCGCAGTTCATGTCACGACGTGTGATGTGTATGTACAGTGTGGTCGAACATCCCTACTAATGTCTACCCGATCCCTTCATCAAGTCACCAGATGTCAATCATCGTATCACCTGTACAGAGAAAACGGCGTCCGCCTTACCTACTGGTGGGAACACTGTCTGTCAGGCCGACTGATCCGGAGCCACCCGCCTTTCGACATCGTCGGCCTATTCGACGTCGGCGGAGAAAGCGGGGTTTTTCCAGACATCCCACTGTGAGCAGGTAATCTTGCACTGACCAGTTTGTGTCGGCCTCCAGATACCGTTCTCCTGGTCATCTGTGATCATTCTTCTCGTAATCCGTTGGTTTGTGGCCACTCAGCCATACCACCGCCCTCTTCACGGGCGCGCAGCGAACCCTCGAAGCATTCATGATTTCTTGTACGTGACCACCTCCCTTACACAGTTGACCGCCCTCGGAACCCTCGTTGCTCCGACTTCCGCCCTTTCCGTTACTTACAGACTTATATCTGAAGTGCTTTAATGGACCCGAGAGGCCGCCTTTCTTGCTTGAATTCAATCTATTGAATGTCGACGGCGTCACTCGAATGCAATGACCCCTTCCCGGAAGCGCCACATCGACAATAATGGTTCTCTTCGTGTCTCTCCTACGCTATTCATGGTACCCTCGAACTATGCTAAAGCTTAACAATACGTCACTTCGACATCATCCGTCCAACCGCACGACGTTTTCGCACTGAGGGGTAGACGATCGCTATTGGTTCTCGGCATGTCCCGAAACAGGACATAAGCACCGTCAAGTGCGTCCGCCTCTCGAGTAGTGTTGCCGCCAATTCGAGTTGGGCTTGACGGCTGGCTTGACTTGGCTCGAAAATCACGCAGCTTGGCCCCGGCTGGGCGGATCAAGCTGACGTGGATACCGCTCCAGCTCGCAATAAGCTGGAGCCAAGCGGAATGGTCGGAGACTGCCCAGCTGGCTGGTCGTGATGACACCATTTCGTGATGGATTGCCGGTAATGGAAAGACCTACCCACGAAGCGCTCGACATCTGATACTGAACGCTCCATATCGCTTTTCATCTTACCCCCTCCTCACATCGCGTTATCCCCTTCCTCGCCATAGCAAGAGCCAACCATATCTACTCATACTTTGCAATGTATCTATAGCCAGATTATGTGTTTTCGTAGACAGGTTCACGCGTTTTTGAGCCATCCACCTGACAAACTCCCATCCACTTACCGGCCGTGATGACGACGGTTTCACCCTTATTTCGCGAGGAGATGGAGTCCGAGTACTCATGGA